TTTTTTTTTTTTAACACAAGAAATTTTCCGGAATTTCGACTTGGGCTCACAATCACCCCTGCTATTTTCTATTTGACGTTTTTTAAAGGTTCTTTTTCATTGAGTGATTTTAAAAAGCGCTTAATTTTTCCTTTACCTTGTTTGCCACGTATTATGCAAAAAGACACTTCATATTGTTCTATTCGCGATTAATTCAAACCCAATCTATTTCGGCGTACTGTTGGTCCTTAGCGTATAAAAACGCCATACGTTTTACGATTCAAAATTTTGTGTTTTCTGACAATTGTCAAGAACTATGCCAAAAGTTTCTTTTTGACATGACGGTTAAATCCGGATAAAACCGTCAGTTGCCAACCCTGCCTAATTATATTTTTTAAGTGTTTAAAAATATTTTTGAGTGCTTATATCTTGCTGGAAAAATTTGGCTACGCACCCTGTATAAAATTATCAGTGTTTATGGGTTTAATTCTGATTACTATTATGAATATTTACTTTGTTAGGATTATTCTCAACTGGTTAAATTTCTATAAGTTTCTCCTTTTTTTCAGGGTTATATTAGTGAATTTTTTGAGTGATTTTAAATTCTAAAATTATTTTTTAAATAAATACCTTTCTTCTTTTTTAAAAAAATGCATCTTTAAATGTTTTTTCATAATTTTCAGCTTAAATTTTAGATTGCACCTTTCAAATTATTAGGTTTAATTAAAAAAAAAAATAATTAGGTTTATCAATTGAGCATTTTTTAGTTTACTTGAAAAAAAATTATGTTCAGACATTGTATTTTAGCATCCCCTTAATTATTTTTTTTATAAAACTGAATTTTTCTCTTGTTTTGATAATGTGTGAAACTACTTTTTGAATTACTATATACTTAAAAAAAATATAAGATGGTAATTTAAAAATTGTTGATCAAATTCAGTTATTACATCTTACACAATTTGATAAATTTTTACGGCGTTAAATGAGTGCTCTTTTCTGTGAAGAAGTGTCCTGCCCTTTTTTATTTCTAGTGAGAACTCTGGTAACAGTTTTGTGGGATTATTTTTGTTATTAAAAGTGTCGGATACTTTATTCAGTTTGATTTGATGATTGTGACAATGTGGTTATTTCAGAGGCATCCTTTTTATTGAATTTTTGTGTATTCAGATCATTCTATTTTCTAAGAACAAAGAAGGATTTTATACTAGATTTATATTTTTGATCCAGCCTTTTTATGAAGCTAGTAAAAATTGCTAGATTCAAATTTTCTTAGAGCTTACCACTAATTAATCATAGAAGCATATGGCCTTATTTCTAGGATTCAGAGTTTCTAATATTTGTGGAATTTTATGAAAATTTCATTAAGTCATTAAATTCATGAATGTCATTTTATGAAAAAGAAACTTCACGATTTTACAATATCCAATGTTCGTAGTGATATATCCAAAAATTCATACTTACAAATGCAGTAACAAAACTTGAAAGGTGGACTTTTAGCGTTACACGATTATTAATTTCTTTCATCTGATTTTAAGAGTTTCTGATCAACAATACATTAATCATATAAAATAATATTCTTAAACAGCTAATTGAGGAATCTAATAAATTACTTTTGAACAAAACTTTTTAAGGAGTCTATTTTGTAATGAGTTTATATTGAAACCTTCCTTTAAAAGCGTAAAATAATAAGCCTTATTCTTATACTCTATTGCAAATTAATGCTAGTATAATTGAACAGTAATTATTTGATGCCAGTTAATTTTTTAATGTAACTGTAACTATAAAAACTTATAAATTTCTGTTCTAAACAAGGTAATTCTGAAATAAAAAATAGTATATTTTATTATTCTTTTGTGATGAAATTTTTCTACACTTAAGTAGAAGAAATTATACTTTGTTTTACCCTTTTTAAAAGTAGCTTGGTTTATCAAAACCTTTTCTTACTCTCACTATGAGGCCTGTTTTATCGATTATAATTTTCTTGAACAACACCATAACTCTTTGCGTAGTTTTTTTATTTTTTTAAAATAAGTTGTCTGTCTTGGATAATCTTAATGTTCAGTTTTTGGTGCTTTAGAAGACAATGGGTAGAACTTGTGCTTCAAAAATATTGATTTCAGTCTCATTGCTAGTGAGTTGGTTTCTGTTAAATGTTTTTTTTCGTAATCTATGCAATAGAATGTAATTACCATTTAAAATATTTTGGTTGTATTATTTAACCCAAATGTTTAGCCACCATTTAAGCACCACTTAATCCGTATATAAAATAATTTTCTTGAACTAATAATTAATTTGCTTACAGTTTGGGAATAAACTAAATGCATCAGAACTTATCTAAATTGAAAAACTAACTTCTATTCAAAAGTGTTTGAGATGCTACACTATCAGAAAAACAAATGTGTGATTGATGCAAACCTCACTTGTTAAGCAATCAAAACATAAATTTAAATTTACATAGCAATATCGCTTTTAAATGAGAAACAATAAAAAAAACTATCAATAATATACTCATCAAATATACTTTCGATTGTAATTTTTTCTACTAGATTTACAAAATATCTTTGATAGGTTTTAATGTAATTTGATTTGTAATAAAGTAACAATTCTGAAGCTACAAAACATACGTCTGATTGGTACTCAACAGATCGTAACTTAAACCAGAAATAATTTATAATTTTTTTTTATGAAAAAATTTATTTAAACAATATCTATACATAAAACTTTTTTTTTATCATCTAGGTTTTAAAAACTTCCCTTGGATATAAACTCTTGGTACACAGATGCCTTCTTTGTGGTTTACAGTTTCTCTAGAAACATATTTATTAGCTATCACTTCAAATCCAGCTTCAACCATTAATTTTCCCAAGTATTCTGAAAAAAAAATTTTTTTTTCATGCTGTTTATTGAATTTTTATACACTACATTAAAAGTTAATGAACAATTTTAGTTATATTTCTCAAAAAATAAGTTAAAATACTCCAGAAAGTTCAGGTGCATGCGATCAATCATAAATTTTTAGTGTTTTGGCTAATTTAAAGAATCCATTATTAGATTCTTTATAAAAAGTCATTAAGGTTAGTGAATATAAAAGTAAATAAATATTTTAGGAGATTTTTAGTGTTAGCAGTTAAATTTTTTTTTACAATATACCTACATACAGATTTTTTGAGAATATTTGATAATTTTTTTGTTAAAAAAGAAAAAAAAAAATCATATATGTCATTTTCTTAAATAAGAATATTCAATGTTATCCAAATGTCTGCACCTTACCTTATCTGTGTTTTAATGAAAATATTATTAATTATTTTAAAAATGTAATTCATTACTTGCATTGTTTTTAAAAAGTGAAAATTGAAGAATTAGTGATTTTCTTAGACTTTTTAATATTTTTTTTGAAACATTTAATTCTTAATGGAAGATATGGATAGTTAATGTTTAAAAAATTTTTAAACAATATACAATAGGGCATCTATTTCAGAAATTATTTAAAATTTTAGAAAATTATGAAATATATGTGCAATGACTATTATTTGATTGATTTTTGTTAAAGAAGTACTTATTTGAAAACAATTCAATGATGGCAACTAAATGACTGCTATTTGCATAAAACACAAAGGGATTTTTTTTTTTGAGCCATGCAAAGTGACTAAGAAAGTAAAGAAAAGCTGGTTAAAAAATTAAACAGGGGAAGGCATTCAATGAAACAAGTACTGGAAATTGATGCAGGATAACCTATTCTGTTCTGCCATATGTTATTGCGAAACAAGGAATATCCACTCAGTTTTGCATAATTTTTTCTAATCACTTGATAAACGTTAATTTTTTTAGCTAGAAAATAAAGATTATTTCTTGTTCATATTCAAGACTTAAAATACACCAGTGAAGCAGAGTATTCAAAATTTTTTCACATAATAAAGAATAAACTGAAAACATTTTACGCTCAATGTATAAATAAAAATATAGCTGTTTACTAATCTATAAATAATTTTTCTAACCTTCAGAGAAGTAGAAAGCTCGAGTGCCATCTTGCCTTACATAAAAATTTTCACTTAACTTGTGACCAGGTTTAAATCTCAACATTGCTTGATCATACAATCCATAATCCCTAAATAACAGAATACCATTGGGTTTTAATACCTAAAGAGTAAAACTTGAGAGTTAATAAATAAAAGGAGAAAAAAAAAAGCACAAAGATTTTTGCAGTAATACACAATATTTACCATAAAAAATTTAAGCTTATAAATTGTATAGTGCGGCTTTCAGTAGAACTCCTTCAGATACGTCTCACGTCGTGGCAGGTACTATGGTTACGAGAAAAGGTCACTTGAATTGGGGTGAATAGTTTTGTCTTAACCTTAGCGTAGGTTGTCGTGAGTAAATTAATCGACACCTTTCTTTCATTCTCCCCATTAGAAATGTGCTCTCACTTGTTACCATAGCAGCAGCCAGCCCCAGACTTTCAGTCTGGAGGAGTTATCTTCAAAGCCACACTATACTACTCAGTTTACACCAAATAAGCCTATTGGTTATGATAAAAATTATCTGTTATACACAAATTTAGGTCTCTGATAATTTTCTTCAGGATTTAACCCATCATAAAAAACAGCTTTTTCTGGTGCGGGGACTCCATAATATTGAAGAAAATTTTGTGGGATCTTATAAGCATTGTGTAAATAAGACGCATATATGAACTATCAGTTTCTTTGCTTGTACTGTAATATACCATGCAGTTTTAGAACTTTAAAAACATTGAACAATGTGAAAATTTAAAGTAAGTAACAGACTTAAAAAATAATCCAATAACAAAAATGCATAAAAACATTTTCATTTCTTTATTTGTATTATCTTATGTTAATCTGTTTTTCAGATACATTTTATAAAAATGTTTCAATAATTGTGAAATTATATTTATAAATATCAGAATCGCTAAAATGTTTGATGACCTCTATCAGGGTTGGGACCCACAGTTTTAGAAAATGTAACATAAAAAAATAAGCTGGCTTCTTTGTTTTGTTTACCCCTAAGTAATGCTTCCTAGGAAAGTGAAGTAAAATCTGTAATTGATGGGATCTAGATTCAGAGTTCAAAACTAAATTATTCAAACTAGAGATGTGTCAAATGTTTGATATTTAGCCTATCTTAGCAACATTCAGTTATACTAGATATCAAACAATTTATTTTGTTGAATATTTTCTTAGTTATAAAATTAATCAATTATAAAGAATTGTAATGAATAAATGTAATTAAGAATGATCTATAGAATAATTTGCTTAAATATTTAAAAAAAGTACTTAATAAATAAATCTGACAAATTAAGAAACTAGGTAATAGTTTACAATTGGAGACCATCTTAAATTTTGGCAATTTACAACTAAATGAAAATGGGATTTAAGTAAAACTGAATGAAAATTATCGTCAAACCAAGAGGCCCCCGATTCTACACTAGAATCAGAAACTATAATATTAAATGTCTCTACTTAGAAAACAAATCCTTAAACTAAAAATGAATAGATTTAGATATTTACTCTGTTTACAGTGAAATATGAATCAGGGGTGATTGTGAGTTTAACTAAAAAATCAAGAAAATGTCTTGAGTAAAATCATTAATGACGCATTTCAAAAAAATAATGTGTTTATAAATTTAAATCATTGATATTTTCAAAACACGAAATTCTAAATAAATTATATACAGCATAATTTAAACGAATAATTCTGTATAAAGTTTACTTTTAAATCTAATCACATTTATTATTCTACCAGAAAAAAAATTATTTCCAAGCAAAAGAGATGCCAAGTATAAATTCTAGTACGGATATTTTTGAATAAAATGTACAAGAATTTTAATACGTAAATGTGATCGACTATTTCTTGAAACTTATAGACCTAGGATTTCTGGATTGCGGTTAGAAAAAAATCTGGATTTTTTCTGGAGCACAATTATCTCTGATTAAATGGGTGTAGATTGAAATTTTGTAGTTTAGCATTTATTGTTAAAGCTTATTAATGGAGTTTAAAGTATACTTTTTTACATAGTCAATTGAGAGGAGTTGGCTTATAAACAGATCTCCCTACATATGAAAAGGTACTGAAAATACTAATAGAAAATGATGAACAGTCAGCACCGAAATTAACAATAGAATAGAAAAAAAGAAATTTATTTTAATTTTTCAATTGATTGAAAAAGAAAAGAAAAAAGGTGACATGACATATTTGAGGCCAGAACTTAAATTCAAAATAGGAAAACTGCTTAACAGTTTAAGGTGCATCCTATCATCTCTCTGTGTATTAATATTATTACTTTTGCAAACATGAATTTTTTTTTAGTTTGGCTTATGCTTTAAATTTTAAGGACATGTTTAATGAAAAAAAAAAGCAAATAATTAGCCCAGATATGAATAGGTTTATAATACGCGGTATACATCCATAGCAACATAGTAAGAAGGGAAAGAAAAAATAAGTAAAATATGCATACAAAAAGAAAATTAGAACAAAGGGCAATAAAGTGATAATTCCATACACTGATTGAACTAATTCAATGAAAACAATTCAAATTTAAAAAATCATAGGAATCAATCACACTTATTCATTTATTCCTTCACAGCTGATCAAACTGTCCTTTATTATTATTTCTAGTTAAGTGCTTTAAAAGATTTTATACCTTTTACTAAAAAACAGCACAATACATAGAAACGTCTTATCAACTGTTCAGAAACTAAGCTGCTTTTCTCTGCAAATACTATCTTAAACATTTTGAAAATGTGGTTTATTATTATATTGTCCCAAGCACTTCATTAATACTTTTTAAATACAATGGAAATTTACAACAAATCTTTTAGAATGCATAAAAATATACCTTATAAATATTTTTGAGTGCGAAAAGCATTTTTTCTGGATGGATGGCAGACAAAACAAATATTAAAGTTGAAATACTAATTGTACCAACAGGAATAACATTTGCTAAATCGTCTTGAGTGATATCACAAACAAAGGCATTACAAATGCTAGAGTCATATAGCTCGTTAGCCTGAAAAAAAGTTTACATATATCAGTAAAATGAATAAATAGTAAAATAAAATACATGGTAGTTTAAATATGTCAGTTTGATGAAAAATGTTAAAGTAAAATAAATGGTAAAAGTAAAATTAGGTCAACTATTGATAGAATAAGAAATTGATGAAAATCGACAAGATTTATAAGCAATGTGTCAGCAGAATAATTATTATTCGACACATTTCTATTTTCCTAGCTTCTCAAACAAAACAAAAATTCAATAAATAAAAGAACGGAAAAACATATAAAAATAAATAAACAGTTTTAGCAATCAATTAATACTAACAGGTTCAAGATAAATATATATACCTAGACCAATGATATATATACTCAAGATAAATATATATGATAATGGATATATACATAGTTTTCTTTAACACAACTAAATCAATTGACTATAGTTAAGTTTTATAGAGTGTATAAAATTTTTTAAAAACAAATGTAAAATTAAAAAGAAAAAATTAACCATACTTTTACAAGTTCAACAGCACGGGGAGAGAAATCACAAGCATAGAAATAAAAGTTTACTCCTTCTGATATTAAAGGAAACATGAAATTTCCTGCTCCACATCCAACTTCCAAAAGAACTGATTGTTCATTTTCTTTCTAAAAAAATTAAAATATACAAAATTGTATTTTTGATTGCTTATAATTGTCTTAATTAGTAAACTTGGTATTTGAATAATGAGTTTATTTCCCCCCCCCCATCTTGTTTGATTCATGGTTATGCCTTTTGTTTAGCACCAGAAATAAGATAAGATAAGATAAGAGGATTAAAATAAGGGTACTTAACAGTAATAGGGACCACATGTTGGGGACGGCTTTCCCGATTCATTGATAACATGGACATTGGTCCAGATAACCGATACATATGAATTTCGATACAGCGATGTATAGATAAAATCACTAAAACAACGAATGATAAGGAAGTAAAAGAATACAAAATATCAAATTCTAAATTGACAAATGAATGATAAGGAAGAACATTTTACAAACATACTTCATAAATGTATTTAGTTTGGTTTTTTGTAAAAAAAAATCAGCCACTTTACTTACTTTGTTTCTCGCTTTGATTTATAACTTTAAATTTCTTCGTGGAAGATCCACTCATGGATAACTGGGGTTCTACTGTACAGGGGTGATTGTGAGCCCAAGTCAAAATTCCGGAAAATTTCCTGGGTTTAAAGAAAAAACCCAGTTTAAATTGAAAAATTAGAAAATTTTTCCTTTTTCTCAATATTTCTTAGTTTACTTAAAATATATTTAAAAATTTTCACATACCTATATCATTTACACATACTTATGATGACCTGGAGAAGTAATTAAAATTTACAAATATGTCTTTCTTTTTTGAGTTAATGATTATAACAACTATTTACTAATAAAAAATGAATATTAATTATGAAAATAAGCTTATAAAGTATCCCTCTGGCTCTCCCTTACAAACAAATAAAATAAGCTGTGTTTTTAAGCTCCACCTTGGAAAATTTGATTCCCGGAAACTTCTGTGATCAATGACTTTTTTAAACGTCTGGACCTTCGATCTCCGGAAACTTCCGGATCACTGTTAACGAAAAATCCGGAAATCCGGATTTTTTCCAGAGCACAATCAGCCCTGACTGTAGAATATTATCAATCATGGGAGTCATTGGTTTAGAAACAGTGGATTAATGCCCTCCACAATAATTAGTAATGTTTTAAAGTTCCTCTCAATATTTTTAAGAAACGTATAAATTTTTTTAAATCAATTTAAATTCATTGAAAGTAAAAAACAAAAAATATTTTTTTTTTTTTTTTACAGATGTTGTTTAGCAGTTTAAGAAAATTATTTTGCTAGTAAAATTTAGAGTGTGACAGTGTACTTTAATTTTGTCCCCCTCAAGAAATTGAACACATGTGGTGCCCCTAATCAATATAATGGGAGCAATATTGTATCAGAAATGCACTTTTATCATTATAATCAAGGTATTACCACGTTTGCTGCACCCATGTCTATTAACGATATCTGTAAATTGTTCACACTAGAATTTGATTTTGTTTTTTACGTGCTTGCACATTTCGGTTCATAGTCCTCATAACTGATAGCAATGATTTGGGTCTTATTCACAAATGATGTCATGCTCAATGAGATTGAAAAGATAGCAAGAAGAATGACATCATGGGTTTGTCACTCTTCTAATTACTATATATGGTGTTTATTAAATACACTTAAAATCAGCAGATTAAAAATTTTTCTTAATGAAAACTGCTTTTATCTTTTTCATTAAAAAAAGTGCAGAAATAATCATATTATTATTATGTTCACAAATGTTATTAAAACACAGAGTTAAAGTTTAAGAGTAAAATCTGAAATATGATTCATAACATGCATTATGTTTTTTAATTGCTAGTATATATTTATGTAATAAAATGTGTAGCGTGACAAAGGGGAAGGTCAGAAATATTGATAAAAAGAGAGGCAACATTAATGAATGGGCATCTAATTTGAAAATGAAATTAAGTGTGAAAGTGAAGCTACTACTTAATAAAAAATTCCATTTCTTAAATAAGTTGTAATGAATCACTATTCCAATAAGTCTTGTTTACTCTGATTTAGTTTCTGTTCAAAAGATTTATATTTTTAAATTTCTATATAATTCAATATCATTAACAAAATAAATGTTTTTAGAACTAAAATTATTATTATTTTAAAAATAATTTGGAAAATTTAAAAATAAAGAAGCTATTTTTGCACTACATTTTGCATACCTTAGTTTCAGAAAATTAGAAATACAGAGTAGGAAATTACTGATTAATTCATGATGTATGTACTTCTGAGAGAATATTAGTTGTATTCTTTTTTACTAATTGCAATTTTAAAGGTAATCATTACATTCAAAACTGTTAACTCTTGAGCACCTTTATACTCATAAAAAATTTTTTTACATCAATAAGTCTTAAATAATGGATTACTTTATCATGAATGGATTACTTTATTCCATTCATTTGAAAAACGCATTAATATGATGATAAATTATCAGATAAACTTTCTGTTTCATACATTTATTTTTTGTCTCACTTACTGAGGTTTCGTTTGCAAGTTCCTCGAATTCTCGTTTAGTCCAATGTCGATCTTTAAAAAAGTTTCCTCTATTCCTCTTATAAAACAAATCCCAATTCCTTTTAGCTTCAAGTTCTAACTTATTTTGTTTAAAATCAGAGATAGTCACTTTGTCAAGAGATAATTTTTCAATTTCAGTATCATTTAAAATTCGCGCATAATGACCTTTTTCATTAGTTGAAGCCATTTTTGAAGATTCGAGAAATTGGTAATCTACCTGTTCTTCGAAAATATAAAACCGAAAAAACTTAGATTAAAAGAGAAAAAAATCGAAGATAGAATATAATTTTGAAAAGCATTCTAAAGAAAAAAGTGATCCACTATATATTTTACTTGAGCCATGTATCACGTTTATTTGTTTACAATCACGTTGGCGTCATTGGCGAGTTGAAAATTTGGGATTTGGCGTAATTTTTGGCAAATTTTTCACTGCTTCTTTTTTGACAAGTTTTTCAGCTTGTGGCAACACTTGTGAAACTGAAATTCGTGATGCTTTTGTTTTGTTTATGTTATGCTCAAATTTAGTTTTGTCCTAACGTGTTTTTGCTTTGATTTGGTAATTGTTCCTTTGCTGACAGTTATTCTATTTGCTGCAAATGTTATAATTTAATATTACTGTTTTAAGTTTTGATTTGTTTTATGCTATATTTGTTTATTTTATTTCACGTTTAGTGGTGACTGATGATTTCATAAATGTGACTCATTCATTATTCACCATGTGCTATGTCGCAGCGAATTTAATTTCCAACTATATTAAGGAATGTTTAAATTGCAGTTAGTTTTAATTACTATTTACGAAACATATTTCACAAGATATGTGATGAAATAGTTATTTTTCCCCAGATGTGCTTATCTACAATCGAATTTTAACGTCACACAGGAAATTTTTAGTTCATTTGTATTAGAATTTTGAAAAAGATCTTTCCAAATTTTTTTAAAAGGGATACTCCGTAGTCATAAAGTTGTTGCCCTTTCGTATGCTTTGTTGTTTAATGACAATGTTTTATATTTCAAGGAATTAGAAATGAAGTACCAAGTTATGTGTCTATAATAAATAAATCTTTTAAACAATTTTTTGATTTGATAATGTTACTAATTCGTTTTAGTTATTTGTTTATTAGGTTAGTTTATTAATTCATCATTTGATCATTTACAGGTCACAACTTGATGGGCTTGAGTCTATTTGTAGATTTAATCTAATAGAACTATCTGTTTGCAATTTTAAAATTTGAGATGTCTAGTCGCAGTATTGTTGCACTGCAGTCATATATGGCTGTTCCTTTGTATGTCCCCCCTGGGGAAATAAACGTTGGCCGAGCTTTATTCCATGATTTTGTTCATGAAGAATTTGAACAACAGGGATTAGATGATGCTGCTGTTATTGATAACTCAAATGAAGATATTGTCAGGGAACATATGGCAATGGCACAAAATCTTTTGAATGCTGAGGCAGATGGGTAAGTTAAATGAATTGTTAAAGAATATTGTATATAAAATTGCTATCAATGCGTTCAACAGTTAATAATATAGGTTCTCTAATCTATTTAGATTGTGTCCACTTTGCAAAATTAATATTTTTCGATTTCTTTTTTGTAATTTTTCTGGTGTTTAATATTTGAACCGTTTCTTTCTTGTGTAATGCGAAGATTATACACATTTAATCTATAATGTATGTATAATCCACAAGCCAATATTGGCTCCTAGGCATTGCTAAATGTTAATTAGAAATGTATTACAGAAAAACTATTTCACAAATAACTTAAAAATTATGATGTCTTTTTTTTTCCTAACTGAAATAAAAAGCTGTGTTAGAAAGTATTAATTTTTAATTGTTCTTCCTATTCTTTTATTCACTCATTGTCTTAGTGACCATTTAGTTTTATATATGACTATGATTGAATTCAGTACTTGCAGCTAGGGATGTAACGAATATATTCGGTATTCTGCCCTTTTGCTGAATATTCGGTTAGAAAATATAACATTTACTCAATTTAAGTTGTATAATACATAAGTATATTTAATAATGTTACATAAATAAAAATGTTTTCTTGTTGCAAATTTATCATCATATGTATTTAAACAAGCATTGGAATCTTTTACATTAAAATACAAATATTTTTTAAAATATAGAAAGTTTAAAAAAGCAAATTTGTTAATATTTATTTCATTTTTAATTTAAAATTTGAAAATTATTTAATTACAAAATTAAAATTTCAAAAGTGAAACTTTTAAAAAAGTTCTTAAGTTTCTGGGTTTTAATAATTTTTCTGACAAAAAAGAAAGTTAAGAATACATTTAACAGTAGTAATGAGTTCTTATTTTAAGTAAAATAGCATATAAATTACAAGTATAACTATAACTAAAATATGCTATTATTAATTATTTAGATTTATAAAAGCCATATTGCCTTGTTATTAGCATCAATATATTTAAATTATTACAAAAAATAAATCAAGTTAAAAATTTTTTAATTATACAAAGATTAAAAAAGCAATTTTGTTAATATTTATTTCATTTTTAATTTAAACTTTTAATTTAAAATTTGAAAATTACTTTAATTACAAAATTACAATCAAAAGAGAAATTTAAAAAAAGTTTTATTCGGCCAAGAATATTCGGTATTCGGCCCCATCACTATTATTCGTTACATCACTGCTTGCAGGAAGATGTAGTTTCTAATGAATTTTACATATTACTACGTGCATGCACGTTACTTTCGATTAGTATCTCATGTTGGCCTTTAACATGTTGTTTTTAAGTTTTTGTGATGCACTATAATAGAGAATTTGTGCATCGCTGTGTTAGGAATTTATTCATAATATATATATCCTAATTCAATGTATATTTGGACTTCAAAAGTATAGTTTTAATAATTATGTAATTAAAGAGTCATTTTGTGAGATAATATTTAAATAAGAAAATTTTGAAATTTCAGCTTAGGAGCAGGTGTCCCAAATATTGTACTTCGAACTATTGGAAGTGATCTTAGAAACTTAGCTAATGACTTTGCTCGCAGTCCCCAAAGAGGAGAGGTTAGGCGTCACGCATATAGAGTATGTATTGTTTTGTTTTCTTGTTAAGGTTGTTTAATATTCTATGCTGAATTTCAGTTAGAAATTTCAAATTTATTGAAAAAAATTTTTTACCCCTCTTATTTATTCTTATATTTTTATTAAAGTTTTATGTTTGTTTCTTATTATAGTCTCGTGTATATAATTTAAAATTTGTTAAGATAATATGTGAATTTTCTAAAGAAAATGTCTCACTTGATAGAAAAGTGTTAATTTTTCTCTTAATAGTCTTGTATTCGCATTTTCCCTTGTATAAGATTCCATTTATTCATTTATAGGTTGACCTGCGATCACTTACTTATGAAGGATTTTTGACTTTACTCCAAGAAGTATTTAGGCATGGTATCAATGTTTATAATATAGTGGCCCTGTTTTACTTTGTTTCTGATATTCTTATCAGAGCTGTAAAAGTAGAATTAGCAAAAATTGGAATAAATTTGTTTAGGTGGGCTCTACAGTACATATCTGAAAATGTTTGCAGATGGGTTTATGAACATGGTGGTTGGGTAAGTTAAATACTTTTATGTTTAATATGAAATAGTTTAATGGTGTAAATTTAATTCCAGCTTTAAAAAATTCAGTAATGTGACAGCTATTTCAATTGACCCATATTTTTATTACTACTATGTTTGTCCCAAACTTCTCTTCTTTCCCAAATTGTTCTAAGACCAGGGGTCTGTCTAGGTTTTTCTGAGAGGTACCTATTTTGTGAAAATTCAGACATAATTTGTGAAAATTAAAAATTGTATTAAAAGATCAACACAAAAATATGGATTTATCGTTTCTTACCGGATACAAAAATAAAATTTAAGGAAAGGTATTTTGTGAAACTACCGGTTTTCCTATAGTTAAATTTGTGAAGGTACCACTAAACGGTAGTAAATTTGGCCTGGACAGACCCCTGAAGACTGTTATAATTGATTCCTTGGGTTATTCATCCACTTTTCCTTTGAGGTTAATATCTTCCTTACCTGTACTATGCATGATTCTTTATCGCCTTACGAGATCATCGTCAACAAAACCAATTATTTTTATTTTTTGAAGTGTCGAATGCTATTTAGGCAGAGTATGAAATAATTGTCCCGATGAGGTTATTATGTAAATGCTGTGCATGTTACTGTGAATGACCGAAATCAGTGGTTGTTGACTTTTACCGGTGAATGTTGACAATCAAATTAGTCGTTTTAGTGAATGTCCGAAATATTTATTACATCCGATTTGATATTGATTTATTCGTGGATATAATTACATTTATTCGAAATTTTAATACTTACTGACAATAGATTAGAACAAACATCAGTGTTTGGAGTATCGGGCATCAGTGTAGGGTATACCGGGCAGTGGCACTTGGCCTTAAAAAAACATCAGTGTAGAATATACCGAGCAATGGCACTTAACCAGACCTAGTATGACTGGACCTTTTTTAAATGTCCGAAATATATACTAGGTCTAGTGCCACTTTTGCTATAGCTTAGATATTAAAAAAAAATTAAACAAAGCGTTTGAATCAATTTTAAACTGATAACGAAATTATTGCTTTAAAATTAAAAAAATAATAAAAACTGCACCAGATAAGAGTAATTGAAGTAGTTGCTTTATACAGCGCATGTGCGGAAATTGTTTTTTAAAAAAATTATCCATGTGCATCTAAAAGTAGATGAATATCCCAAGACACTGTTATTATCATCTTTAATCTATTCTAGTTGTTATCCATAGGGATGAAAGCATTTTACCTGGTGGAATAATATGAGTAAAGATTGACTTTGAGTAAAGGCAAATATTATTATTGTATTATTATAATATTATATCATATTTGGATCTGTGGCGGAATAATCGCCAAGTCTTGGCAACTTATGGGCAACGGCCCGCAAGAAACTAATTGAAATATCACAGTAAGAGACAAACTCGGTATCTATAACTCATATCTATCCCCAGACTAACATCTAATTTATTTATTTATTTTTTTAAAAAACTTTTATGTTTCAGATCAATTTGGCGTCTCAGCAATTGTAGTTGGCATGGCAGGTTACATTACAAAAATAGCCCCTATTTTATTTTAAATGTTACCTTTAGAAATAAGTATTTCAGAATTGAAATTTTTCCAATTGACCAAATTTACATTAAGTTGCAGGAATTTTAGCAGTGAGGTGGAGCATATGAGGTTTTTATCATGGTATATACTGCTTTGGAAAAACCTATCTTTACTATGGTTTTTAGTGATTAAAAAAGTATTTTTTCCCATGCTTTTTGCTATTTGGAAAAAAATGTTTCCTCTATTGTTTTTAAAAAAATGATTGCCTTGTTGCAGAAGGCTACCAAGTTCTTGTAGAAATTTTTTTTCTTTGGAAAGTAAAAAAAAAAAAAAATTCTGATTTTTCTATTCTTATTTGAGAATAAGGAAAAGTAAAGAATAATTAAGTAAAAAAATTTCATTTTCTTTTCTGTGGAAATTTTTGTTCTATTTTATTGTTATGCTGTTATTATTGCTAACTTACACATAGCTTTTAAAATCTGATATTTTTAATGCAATATTATTCATTACAACAGTTAAATCTCGCAATGAAAACATGCATTAAGTAACCTCTATTGAAGAGTCCGATTCGTGCGACTTCTTCATCAATCTCTTTTTCAGTAGTTACTGCTACAGATTTCATGATTTTTTAATTTTCTTAAGTTGATGATGAATTACAAAATGAGAAAAAGGAAGTAATTATTGTGTTATCTTTCTGCTAAATGTGAGAATATCGCCCATAGTATTAGAATAATAAAAAGTATTATATATTCGATTAAAAAAATTATTTTATTTGATCTAATTTTTTTATTTATTTTTTGAAGTTAACGCTTCTGTTACTTTAAATTAGTAAGATGTATATTTGTTATTTTTAAGTATCTTGCAGAAAGGTATATCTTAGAAAGCCTGAAAAAATTCTCCTACAGGAGTTGTAATATTTTAAAAACCTTTGATGCATTATCATTTTAAGGACTAGTGTTCTAAAACATTTTGGCATTTTTCTTATTATAATGTTTATTATGCATTGATGAATGAGAAGAAATGTTTATATTAAACTTTGGAAAATGGAAGTTATTACTAGGATCCAAAACTTCAATATTTCTGAGTTCTTACATTAAATGTCGGTACCTCTGCTTTTTTTTTTATCCATATATTAATTTCTTACTAAATATTCTATCTATTGATAGACTAAACAAAGAATTTCAAAACAAGAAGAGTTATAGTTTGTCTAAAATACAAACTCCCCATGTCATTCATCTGGACCCATGTCAGTGACTATGGTAACGAGGTATAACCAGGGTTCATACAGATGCGTTATACTCCTTAGAAACTCCTTGGAAATAAAAAGGTCTCCAAAGAGTACTTGGAAATACTTAGATTTCCAAATTAGTCCTTAGAAACTCCTTAGATTATTGTGTTGCATAGATGAACTTACTAAGTCTGCTGATGAATTTTCTGTCCAAGCAGGGGAATGAAATGATATTACTTAGCTGTCAAAATCTAATAGTTTGAGAAAAACTTTAAAAGAAAGAAAAAATTTAATTGCAAGAGTGAGAAGAAAAATATAACAGCAAATAATTTTAATTTTTAATGTTATAAACAAAATTAATGATTTACTGTTTTTTTCTTTGTGTAAAATGCCTTAGATTTTATGTATTCAGATTTAAAAATATAAGATTGGTAGGTTTTTATATTAATCTTTAACATCTGTACTATGTACTTTAACAAGATTTATTAAAATATTTGAAGCTAGAAAATGTATTTATGTGTGAAAGTCATAACTTTATTTATTTTTCTTGATGAAGCTTGACAAAGTTAAAATTTATTTCAAAAGGGCTGGAAAAAAGTTTCTTATGCAAAATATACATTCTTGCACGTTCTTTATAGTAACTGCTTTTTTATTTTTTTTTATTTAAAAAAACTGTTTAGTTATCTTTTACGAAAAGTTTTTAAATTTTGGACCCCTTGGAAACTTCTTCGATTTCTTCATCTGATATCTGTATGAACCCTGGGTATAACTATTTCAAGTAGGCATGTGGAGTCATTAAAATTTTTGAAGTCTAACTCAAACATTTTTATTACTATTATTACTAATGTGGTCTTATGTGTATTGGACAAACCAAATGTATCCTTAAACTTTGACACAAAGATATATCCAAAATCAGATAAAATATGAGAATGTTGAAAGATATAATTGAAACAAAAGTATGTAGGTTTTGTTTAGAATAGGGGTGCACAACCTTTTTGAGTGAAGGGCCACTTGCACAGCAGGTTGGCTAACAAAGGGCCGCAGAAGATGTATTACATGTTAATGACAAATGTAGTAATGTTTATTTAAACATTAGCGTTCCATTTTCTTTATCAATAAACTTAGTAATATCAATAACTTAGTAGTGTTCCATTATTAGAATTCATTCAAAAATAAAAAAACTTATACTTTTTTTTAAAAAAAAAAAAAAACTTGCTATTTTTATCATATGAACAATAGATTTATCAAAATAAATAAACATTGAAGAAAAGAAATTTTTTTTTTTATCATATCATGCAATACGAAAATTCATTTTAGAATTAAATTCTAATAAATAAAAAAAAACTGCAATGCCCACAGAATGAAAGTAGGAAAAAGTTTAGTCGTAATTAAGTAATATAAATTCAAATTAAATATTTTAATTGAAGAAAATTTATAGGTTTTAAACAAAAGCCTAAAATAAAAACAAAACTGTGATAGTTCAAAATAAAATTCAATGCTTATTTTGTAATGTACTTTATTATTTTATTAATTATTAGATTTTTTTATATCGTAAACATTTTCTTTCTTTTTTTTTTATCGAAAGAGATCACTTAAGCAACAAAGAATTGAAATCTAAACTACAAACAGTGAACAGTTTAAAAATTCACGTTTTCCGTCATTTCATGAATTTCTCAAGTTGCAATAACATTGCATTTAAATTAGGGAGGGATGTAACGAGTATTTGATCCTTCTGTGAAAAATTCAGTTGGTTGAATGATCAGTCAAATATTCGGCAGAATAATTTTTAAAAAGGTATTTTTCCAAGTTTTTTTTTTTTATTTTTGAATTTTTATAGATATTACTTTTTTTTAAAAAAAAATTATAATCAGACAAGTCAATTTTGTCCTTTTTTCGATACTTTGAGAATTAAGAAGGAATTTTTTCCATTTTTCGCCGTTTTTATTATAACCCAGCATTTTAACAGAAAGTCTCATACTATTCATTTATTATCACTCTTTCCCTGTACTGTAACACATAAGTAACATAGAAAAATGTGATTTTCAGTATTAAAGTTTTGTTTCAGGAACTAAGAAAAATTTGTTTTTTTCTGTTTTTCTTTTTTTCGGTATTTTTATTATGACTCAGCATTTTTTTAAAAAAATAAAGTTACTAACAAAATTTATTTTCGAGCAAGTTTTTTTCTTCTAAAATTATGGAAATGAGAAAATTTTAAATTGGAGACTTTCGGCATAAGATTTTCATTTAAATAATTAGCAATAACTGCCGTGAAAAATTGTTGGAAGAAAAGAAAGAATTGCAAAAAAAAAAGATAAAAGATCACTTAGATTTAAGATGAAATCGTCACAAATAAAGTGCACAAAAAGTGATTATTTAAATTTGCGATCTAAAACTCGCGTCTTAATAAAAATTCCGGGGTTTTGGAAATCACGTAGAAAAGTGGAAATAACTGTTTAAAAAAAATCATTTATATTTACGATAAAGTCGGCTTAAACGTACATTTACTAAAGAATCTGTTAAAATTGATTGTGTCAAAGCGTGATCACTTAAAAGTGCGATTAAAAATTGTCATTTTTAGAAAAAAAATTTTTTTGTTTAGAAGCTCTCGCAGGCCGCACTTCAGCAGTCGAAGGGCCGCAGGTTGTGCACCCCTAGTTTAGAAGTTAACAAATATGAAGCTATGACTCTTTATTGTACGCTATCTGTTTCAACTCTTTAAACATTAGATTATTATTTTTTTTAAAGGAAAAGAAGATAATGTAGAAAACATTTTAATTACAGGGGCCCACCACATATTATACAAGAGTAATTGAAGTATCTTGTCTTTTCTACTTGATTTATTGTTTTAAATTATTTTTAATATTATTAAATTCTATAAGTTTTTCTAGATTCATTTTTCATAAAATATATTATATTAATAAAGTAAAAAAAGTATTAACTAACGTAACAAGTATTAAATAACATAATACAAATTAGGATCCTTTCTTTCCAAACAAGCGTAGGTTTATAAACCTATACAAGAAATCTTTTTTTCCTATGAATTTTAATACGGGGTCAGCGATATCGTGGTTCCTTAGGATTCTTTCGAGCCACCTTTTCTCTTTTTTTTGTCCAACTTAGTTTCTACCGTCATTTTCCTGCATGCCTAGAATTATAATTACGACCTTCCTCGAAGTGTAGTATTTGATATTTTATTAATATTTAAGTTCATTAAATTCTATGAGTAGGTTTTATAACTCATTAAGTAATTTCTATAAGTCATTAGTAACTTTTATTAGTTTTTATTCACCCTTTTTAAAGAAAATGCAGCAATGAAACAATTTATTGTACAAAAGAAAATGTAAATTACCTTTTTTTAAATGAAATATTGACAGGTTATTAACTGATTATTTTTATTTATTTAACAGGAGAAAGTAATCAAACAAGTCATGCGAGGGAGAAATGTTGCCTATGTTGCGCTTGGTGTTCTTGGAGTTGTTGCTGTATGGGGAATATATAAAGGAATTAAAAGCTAAAATGATTGTTTTAAAAATTGCCATTTATCCTACAGTGAATTTCTTAACTAAAGTCAATTTGATTATGTTGACTTATGTTTGATTTTGTGCTACATGTTCAGTTTAGATGTCATCCAATCAAAATGCTTAATATTCGTTATTGCTATTATCTAAAGTGCCTTTTCTTGACATCTATAGAATATGATCTCGTATTTATTCGTCCTTCTTTGTATATGTATTACATTTGTATTTATATAGTATTAACATACTGTTTCTTATATATCTCGTGCTCAATAATCAATGGACTAAGTCATTTTTTTTATAACAACAGACAAGGTTAGCTAACCTTATGAAGAGTTAAAGCAGAAAATAATTTTTGTTTATTTTTTGTAGAAACTCTCTAATTTTACTATTTGATTACCTATATGATTCAGTATAGCAGTTCCGAACTTGGGAGGCAGGGCATATTGTGAGTATTAAGAATTACATATCTATCTTGAAATGTCATCGTGAGCTGCTTGAGACTCTTCCCTATTGTGAATTGGCTTTTCATACAGAATTGAAGCATTACTTTTATTTATCTTAATTTATTTTACCGCTTTTACTTTTCCTAGTAATTTTTGTCAAAAATATTCAGGAATAGGTCTTGAGAAGCTATTTTACATAATTTAAATCATTGACAACTGATTTATCACTTTCTTCAATTTTGTTACCAAATCATTAAGTTAGTTCTTTCTGGACCTATGCGATACTAATTTTACGCTTTGTTATTAGAAAAGATAATTTAGATACATAAATTAATCATTTCAAATGTTCAGGAAATGCCAGTTCATAGTGGGGAGGCGTCCCTAGCGGCATACAATGAGTTGCCGTGCAACTCTTGATCCTTATGTACCCTATCCACTCTCCAAGTTTGTTATTGGTGTACGACTTTCAACAATATGTTGAAAACTGTGAAAAAATCCTATAATATAATTTTTTTTAAAAAAATTGTAGTTTATATAAAAATCATTTATCCGTATCTTAAAAATAACATTTGCTTACTTAAGCATGAAATATTTTGAATGTACAAATTTATTTTCCTTTATACAGTTTTTGTACTTTTACATATTAAAGTATTCTTTTGTATAAAAGATAATGTAGATTTATATACTGTTTTCATACTTTCTTAAATCATAAATGAAACTTTCATTTTCTATTAAACTCATGATCAAAGCGCACAACTTTAAAATGGAAGATGTGCAAAAATTATCTGTGTATTAATGGACTGTGCTTTTTAAATTATGAGTCTGATTTGTGAATGCATTGTTTTTCAAAAACTTTAAATATCATTCTAAAGGATTAAGAATTATAGTATCAATAATAAAATATCTCTAAAACTATGCCATGTTTTATTTTTCTGAAATTTTATCCATGTGTAGAATAAAACGTAGTCAGAAATTTTTTACAATAGAATATCAAGCAAGTGGATATATCTTGTTCAAAGATAGAATTGATTCAATGAAGAGATAGAATGAAAAGATAGAATTGATACAAAAGTATTCATTGAACTTTTATTTTTGTATGTCATATTATGTTTTTATTAGAAATTGGCATATTAAGCAAGTCAAGATGGTATGAATCAAGAAAGGTAGTATCAAGTCAGGTAGTATCAATCAAGTTAAGGAACTTTTGTACTTGTGTAAATTTTCTATGTATATTTTAAATTTTGAAAAGTTTTTGTTATATGTATTATAAAAATATTTTTGTGACTGATTATATAAACATGTGAAAAAATTTATTTGTAAAATTAGATAAACATGTAACGATTGTTAACTTTATAGATAAAGCACTTATCTCTGAACTGAGCGTTTGTGATACTTGAAGACTTTCATATTCCAACCGATTTTCAAACTAAATGACCAGTTCTCCTTGTATGTTTTTCAATGAGAAATTTTTACACTAACTCACTCAGATGCAAATTACTTGGTTTGTTTACCAAAATAAGATTATAGATTATTAGCGTAATAAGATTATTAACATTCAGTGTTTGAAATATTAATGACAATAAATACATGGTTTCAATATTTCAAAACATGTATTTAGTTATAGTTCCCCCTCCCCCTACAATTGGTTTCTTATCTTTTGTGCAAGCAATTTATTGTTTACCTATATAGGGTTCACCTATTTTTACAGCAGAATTGGACGAAGAGAAAAAGTTGACTTTAAGGTTATGCACTCTTAAAATATAGAACAAAATGAGAAATAATTTCATACTGTATGCTATTATAATTATGGACTGCATTTTTGTTATTGTTTGACTAATGAGAACTTTCTAAGTATCAGATTCAATTCCTATATCAAAATATTTTAAACTGGGTTATAAATTTTTTTAGCTGAATTTTTTTTTGTTAAACAAAAGCTTTGACCCTTCCACTTATATAGTATTCCTTATTTGCACTGACCTAACTTAAAATGCGCTTGTCTCGTTGAGATGCACAGGAGAGATAATTAAGTCTGATATCACATTTAAAGACAACTGTCTGTGTGAGCAGGGTATAAGTTGTCCACTAACTCCCAGTCCCGCTCAGAAATGAAAAGAAACATTTAATCTTGTTTCTTGCTGCTCATAAAGTTAATGATTAAAGTAAGATTGCAATTGTACTTACCATAAGTTATCTACATATTATCAATTGTAATTGTGCCTGTATACTTCTATATTGAACTTACTCTATGAATCCTGAACTATATTGAACTAAAGTATTTACATCTCATTGTTTGGAGTATAACACTGCCTGGTCTATTTCCAATGTCTGTTTTACAATCATTGGAGCATCATATTTCCGTAGTTTCTCTTGTTAGTATCTTTTTTTTTTTTAAATATTGATCATTATGGAATCTTACTTAATATTAAAATTTGTTTTGTAATTTGATTTAATTTGTACTTAATATCAAATTTATTTGCTGTCCTACGAGCTTTATCTAGTATATTATTTTGAAACTACAATAGAAAGAGCATGATATATTTCACTAATATTAAAGAATTAGTGATGACTTTATGATTAAAAATAATCATTTTTACACTCTTTATCAAATTTTTAAAATGATTCCTATTTTCAAATTAAGTCCATTTTATTAAAAGTAGAGTCAATTAGTGCTAATATGAAGCACTCAAAATAATGAGGTATACCCATTTTAAGCATAAGAAAACTTAATAGCTATTTTTTATGAGATTTTTTATTTGTGACATTTCAAATTTTTGGCATGCAACGCATTAATTAATGATAAAGCCATACGATGCAGGTGTGTCATTAGTAGGGTCAAGAAAAGCCTGGAATTGTCAGGGAATTTTATTCTGACTCTAAAAATCAGGGAGAGTTGCAATTTTTTACCAAAACTTGAAATATTCCTTCATCATACCTTGTAAATGACCTGTCTTACAATTTTCGTTATCAGTAATCAGTTATCAAGATTAGAGTTAAATAACTCTGACATCTATTACAATAATTTGTTTTAAAAATTTCACAGTTTAGTCAAACTTGCATGTTTCCATTCTCATTTATAAATGATATTTTTTTGCTCCCATATTTGGCATTACAAATAAAATAAAAAAAATAATAATAATTTCTGATGAAATATCGGGAGATTTGGATAAAATATGGTGGCATCAAATGTTTTTTAATCCATATGTAAATAGGAAAAATAAGCAGCTGGACTCTTACATGCTCTGAGACCTGTTCTTTTTATCCTTGCATGACCTGCTGGGCATGAGAAGTTTAATTAAAAGTACACTGATTTAGCTTTCCCCTTAATTTTGATTGCAATTAAAGATTTATAAAACAAGGATAACTTATTTTTTTATTCCCACAAATATGCTAATTTTTATATTTAATAGGTAAAGCTTAAATGTATTCCTATATACTTTTACTGTTTTGTCTTTCTAGTAAGTGGGAAAGATTCTGACGTAATAAGTGTAATTAAATATATTCATTTATTCAGGTTCGTTCATTGAAGTGCGCTCATATGTTTTCATTAATATAAATTCGGAAAAAATATGTTTGATCCTGTAAACGTTAATTTTAAAAGTTGTATTCAAAAAAGCAAATGTTTCTAGTTACAAAAAAATGAATGAATATTTTTGTGTCTTTTTATTTATTTAATTTGAATTTCATTCTGATAAATTTACTTTTCTAATATAGTTGAACCGTGTTTTTTTAAAATTTTTCATTACAAATACAGGGATAAAGGGGTGCATTTATTATAATTGTTTTCATTATTGCACTGACAAAACCAAATAAAGAAATATATTAAAATTGCAGCAAAAACAATTAACTCAGGTGCATATTTGAGACACTCTCAATTTACCCTGTAAAGCTAATGAGATGTATAATTATTTAAATATTTTTATGAAGAAAGTTTAAACATTTTTTTACATATTAAGTTGTAGACAAAGCGGGACCACCAATTCAACAATTAAAGAATAGTAGTGAAACTTAAATTTTTATTTCATATTAGCTCTGATTGACTTTACCGGTTTCCTATTTTTTAATATTGTACTATGTTGCTCTGCAATATTTTGTATTCAAGTGAAAGCAATCATTTACCAAATAGTATTTTTAGAAACACTTACACTATACAATTTGTAAAAATTTTTATAAGTTCACTGTAAATTTACTATTCAAGTTTAGAATACAGTTTTGAGTAGTAACTGAACTTAGAGGTGTAAAATTTTCTTTTGATTTCATTCACACCTATGTGTGAAATTCATAACTGTCACTTTTGTTTATATGTATATTGTGTTTTCGATTATTATATTGCTGCCATATTCTTGTGTAATAAAATGACATTTCCTATGTAAAAACTAGTTTATTTTATTATTACAATTTTTAAAATCCTGGAGCGAGTTAGAATTATTTTTTGAACGGTTTGTCAAGCTTTTGTTTGTGTTAGCACAATTCTTAGGAAGCGAAATTTAAATAAACTGAACATTATTTTATGCTGTATAGTAATCTACACTTGGAATGTTCTAAATACAGGTTCTAGGTTAGAACGACAAATTCAGAGGGATGATAAAGACATCAAGAGGAAGAAAGCTTAACATAAAATATGGGAACGCCAATCATGTTGATACGGTGAACTGATACTGATTTACCTAGGAAAGCAAACTCCCTAAAAAGGAAGAATGGGAACGAATCAGTTAATTAGGAAATCAATGTATTGCCGAATTAGTTTCAGAGTGTTTGATTGTTAGTTTCTCCCTTTCCCAATGTATGGACATTATTTTTAAGAAATTTTTGCTTGCTTTTTGATTTGATTACACTGATTTTTAATATTCTTTATTAATTTTAACAGTTTCTTTTGCTTTATCGTTGTGGTATTTTTAACTTGGGATTGTTTTTTTGTTTGGCTCGCTAATAAAAGAAGAAAACGAATTGAATCGAACAAGTTTAGTGGCACAAGGTCCAAGTTGGACATGCAGCGCCGAACTAGACAATTTCATATCAATAAATGTAAATAACTTACACATTATGCTTGTTATTGTAGAGAAGTTACGAACAAAATTTGAAAGTAAATAAAATTCGTGAAAGGTCGTAATTATAATTCTAGACATGCAGGAAAATGACGCTAGAAACTAAGTCTGCCGAAAAGAGAGTGTAGGTGACTCGAAAGAATCCTAAGGAACCACGATATCGTTGACCCCGTATTAACGTAGGAAGGAAAGTTTTCTTAAGAAGGAGCGAATCAATGAATTAGAGAATCGGTGTTTTAGCGGATTAGTTTTAGACGGCCAGATTATTTTATAAGTTTATAGATTTACGTTTGTTTGGAAAGAAAGGATCCTGGTTTCTACCAACGTTATTTAACCCCTTCCTTCTCGCTCCCGTGATATTGACGGGCTGGAGTGTACAGTAGTAACGCGCCAATAAGAATAAAACTAATTCATTTCTTTTGCGGAGAACATTTTATTTCTCATTTTACACACCTGATGGCAGTACCAGGTTATTTTTAAGGTAATTGTAGATAGTTAGTTTATTTTAAACTTGTTGCAGCACTAATCAAATACAAAAGCCAAAAAAATCGACAGTTTAATGACCGTTTTCTTGAAAATTAACCGATCGTTAAGGGGTTAATATTTGTTACGAGGATGATAGTTTTTTTATTTTAAATTATTATTATAAAGTATTTTAAATGAAGATATTTTTTATGCGTTTTTGTTAAATAAGTTTATATTACGAGTGGTATAATTTTCAAGATGGTTGATTTTTAATTTTGTAAAAATATGAGTTTCTGACGCTATGGAATCATTTCAATGAATTATTAATCTAATGAGACAACGAGGAAAGAAATAAAGCGAATCAGTTTGAAAATCTATATATAAAAATCTAACGGTGTCGCAGTTTTCCATCATTGTCCATGCATTTTTATTGCCCTAAAAATCACGAGGTAGGATCTAGTTTTTCTTGTCATCAGCATAAAATTAATAAAATCCCTAGTGAAAACTAAGAGAATTTTTTATTATTATATAATTCTACGTATTAAGTTATGTAGAAAGGTAGTCTAATTCAGGGGCTCTAGTCTAATCTTATTAACCTTTTACAATTATTATTTTTCTGCAAGTAGCATTAATATACTGTGATAAATTACAGTTAAGGAGATCTGTTAACTGATTTAGAACTTAACGATCAGCTTCATGCACAATGACATAAAGGCAAAAATAGTATTTAATATCTCCGCCCATTCGGTAAGCGAAAATATTGAATTTGGGTTGGGAACTCATCAAATTTGTTTGAATAATATAAATGTTATTTTAAAAAGGGATTACTTAAAAAAATGATTTCCTTTCAACAATAGGTCTAAATATTTATAACAGTACAGGGTGCGTAGCGTTTTTAAAAAGTGCTTTAAGGTGCTTATTTTCGTTTTATAAAAGCCCTTACAGGTGCCTTTTACATTGGGTGTTTTTAAAAAGTGCTTAATTTTCCCTTTTTCAAAATGAGACCCGCAGTGGACTGATCGTCAAGACACGGTTCCCAGCAGATCACCGAAGTCAAGCATCACTGGCTACGGTCAGTGTGCGGGTGGGTGACCACTTGGATCAGTCTGCGTAGGGACCGAGGGTGTGCGGTATTGGTCCTCGTTAAACTGTGCTACCGTAAAGTGCTCGACTTCGCGCGCAGGTCGTCGGGCTACCGAAGCGGGGGTGCCATCCCCTCCGCAGAGGATCAAAATTGTGATGGCATGTCTTCGGATCATCCTCCGGGATGTTTCCCAGACCGTCGCCAATAGCCCATTGTGCAGCTCTAGTGCTACGTAAATTAACAACAACAAAATGAGATTTTTCTTTTACTATGTTGATTTTCGCTTCGAATTATGCTATAAGACGCAGTTCGCATTGTTCCATTCAACGTTTTCCCGATTAATTCACCCCCAATCTATTTCTGCGTGTTGTCAGTCCGTAGCGTATAAAAGCGCCATTCCTTTTACGTGATTCAAAATTTCGTGATTTTTGACAATTGTCAAAAACAATGCCAATAGTTTTTGTTTTTTTAATTTTTTATCTATTTTTTTATTTTATACATGATGGTTAAAACAAGATAAAACCGTTAATTGTCAAAAATTTTCCAACCGTGCCTAATTATATTTTCTTAAAGTGCTTAAAAGGTGCTTATTTTTTGTTAAATAATTTGGCTACGCACCCTGTAGTAGGAATATATATAAATTGGACGTGGGAAGTGGTGGCACAAGCGTAAGCAAGCAGAATTCCTTTTGGTACATATTCATTTTGGAATAATTTCAACTTTTGTAGAAAAACTGTTTTCTGTCCAAAAACAATTATTGCGAAGCAATCATCGGGTTTGGTGAGTGGTAGCGAGCTGGGCGCTTAGCCTCCTAGCATAATAATAAATTTATGAGTTTGTCTCGCTTACACCTCAAAACTATTTCTACTAGCGTCCTGAAATGTAGACGGGTAGAAAGGTAAGGAAGGGTAAAATACGTTTAAAAAATTAACTTAGATTGTTCGGGAGAGATATTTTAAAATGGAATTTTCTTATTAGTTCAACATTAGCCATTGTTATAAATTTAATTGTAGATGATTTAATTTTTACATGCATTTAAAGGATAATACCAGTAATGTTAGAAAGTTTTCAGCTCCGATCAAAAAGTTTATTCCACGTTTTTCAATAATTATTTTTGATTTGTTATGTTTGATTGATTATCTCTAGAATGCGTATTGAAATCACGTCACCGATTCATTACTATTTCTAAAGTTATCGGAGCCTCGTCACGTGTTTATTTCGTTTTAGTAAAAAGCAAAATTAATGGAGTAAAGTTTTTAAAACTTAATTTCATTGGACGAATTTTTAATTTTAAATATGCTATGTACAAAATCCGAATGTTATAATTTCTTTTTAGAAATAAACAACTATAAATTTGAGATCATTCACATATCAAGGCTCCGAGATTAGCGCACGGAATAATATAACTACTGAAATCTATAGTAAAATTACTTCTGCCAACCGATGCTTCTGTCGCTTAAAGAATTAAGGTCAAACTTGTCACAATAATAACGATAAAAATTTACAAATGCTTACTTAGAGATGTTTTAACTCATATATGCAAAAGAAGTTTAAAAATAAAACTATTTTTTAGAGTAAAAGTTTAAGGAGTATTTTTGGAGGTGTTCAAGTAAATGGAATTCGGAGAAAAACAAACGTAGAATTATACAGAATTTGCTAACACGTAGACGTAATTAGTTTTATTAAGAGGGGCCGAACATATTAGAGTTAATGACCACCAAAAAATTATTTATACAGCCAAAACAACTGGTACTTGAAAGAGAGTGGCCGAATCTTAGGTTGCAAAACTCTCAATGGTGATCTAAAAGTGAAAATAACTAGATGGGAAAAAGAGCCCAAGATTGAGGCACGTGGTTTGAAATTCTGAAGAAGGCTAAGGCTCACTGAGTATAGAAGTGAATTTCTAAATTCATGTTTTGTGCTGTCTAATAACATGAAGTCACTGAGAAGTGCAGGAAATAATAATAAATAACGAAATTGAATTATTTAAAATCATTTTGTGGCATCCCTATATTCCTCTCAGATTTGTTCTTGACTTTGTGGTGATTAATTCCGAATTATAGATTATTTACGAATACAAAGAACGGGTATTCAATTAGTAAACACGCAAATATATAAGCCTACGTATTACGATAGAGCAGCTTTATTTGTATTATCGATTGATTTTTTAGATATTTATTGCTTCAGTCCCAAAAAAACCTTCCACCTTCCAGAAGCTAAAATTAACATATTTCACATTTCAAAGTAAGTCATTAACTGATTTAATCTCTGTGCTATTACGATTTACCAAAAAACGTAAAAATGTGCAATATATTTTGACTTTGTCGCGTTTATCTAGATATTGATATGTTATTTTGAGTCACACAAACAGATAGAAGCGAAATTTAGGGGAATTCCTTTATTTTAATGACATAAAGGGAATGTATGAGATCACATCTTGATAAAATTCTATAGATAAAATTCAAGTGATATTTTTATCATCGTTGTTTATATTACTAAGTGCATATAAATTTTTCAGAAAACAATGTTTTTAATTACTTAGAAAAGAATGAATGCAATGCCACCTGTATTTAAAAACAGTTATTACGTTTCTTCTTTTTTATGTTAAAAAACACTTCCTAATCAAAGTGTGGCAATTTTTAATCATGTTACTTTGCCCTTCGTACCTTGTTTACTATGTTATTATGTCACCCATTATTGTAAAATTGTTCTTGAAATTCAGACATATTTTCATGATTTTTGTTTTCTCATTTGTGAATGAAATATTTGAATTCATAAATGA